TATGTTTCGTATAAATGTATGAAAAAAGGCCATACAATGCAGTCTGATAGTCCTTCTTGGCGTGTTTGCAGCTGTTGTTGGAGCAGGAATTGGAGGAACCGCTACAGCGCATTTCCTTAGGCAACATTTCGGGCCAGAAGTGAGAATTGATGTCTATGAAAAGGGGTCAGTCGGTGGTCGTCTGGCTACTGTCACTGTGAACCACCAAGACTACGAGTCCGGTGGATCCATCATCCATTCCCTCAACCTGCACATGCAAGACTTTGTCCAGCAGTTGGGTCAGTTGCATTCATAACGTTTAAACGTTTAAGTCTGACATTTAGGGGTAATATGATGCTAGGGATTGTTAAAATTACGTGTAATTCTTCTCATAAATAGACTTCCCTGCTGAAAAACCCAGCTTAAACCAGCCTAGGCTGGTTGGCTGGTTTTAGCTGGTCAACCAGGCTGGTTTTAGATGGGTTTTGGCCACTTCCAGGCTGGTTTCCAGCCATTTCCATCCTGGTTTTAGCTGGTCAGGCTGGGAGATGACCAGCTAAAACCAGCTTGACCAGCCTAGCCAAGCTGGGAGTCCAGCCAAAACCAGCTATATCCAGCTTAAACCAGGCTGGTCAAAACTAGGGTTATAGTACACATCAAATCAAAACTAACCGTATTGATTTTATTAGCGCACATTGCTAGTTTTGCGGTAAACAAATCATCCGTGCATGTCATTAAAAAGACTAAATCGTTTGCTCTTGTAATCTAAAATTGAAATCTGACAATGCACTTCATGTTTGTGTAGAGTTAAATTCTCAGATTAGGTCTGTCTAAGGTATTGGGCGTGGCTAACTTACTTAACCACACCCCTTCAGCTGTCAGTTTTGGCAGCGCTATGACAACAAACAGAAATGGTGAGGAGGAGTCTGTTAGGTTGTAAAAACTCTCCTGAAATCCATTTCCCGATCTTCCTGAATGAAATGCTAACTTGACTACATCCAGTAGTAGCAGTAGAAAAACAAACCACACCCACTTTTTACTCATTTAATATTCCATTTCTCTAGGAATTGCATTACAATACAAAAAAAAAGGTTGCTGCTTCTCGTCAGAGCTTAATTTGTGAATTGCGAGGTCCTGGAACAGATCAGGGTAACGGATCTGACATGTAAACACAGATTTGAATGCAGCGATTCGAAGGATTTATAAACATGTGCAAATCAGCATCATTTATAATTGATGTTGCGTGGGTGTTGAGATCCCGATCTTTCAATCATTAATCGTGCAGCTTACACGGACTGCGTTAATGTTGGCTAAACAAGTAGTGACAAAAAAACACCTTTAATAACCTAAGAAACCCACCACATCCTGAATAACCCATCATAACTTCTTCTGTTATCATTATATTTTACAGGAAAGCATAAATGCTTTCATACATGAGATTTGAACGACGAGAGAGGTGATCACTCTGCAAGCGTTACTAGTTTAGGATTAATCCACAAGTAAAAAATGTATTAATCTGCAGGTCACATGTGTTTTGAACTGTGGGTTGTGATCTGTACAAATCACGTATCAACCGTGATCTGTTACACCCCTATAAAGCACTGCTTTGAAAACAGCTATCACTACCTCATTGTATCCTAATCTGTAACCTTTACACCGTGTTTGGGGTCAGGATGACCCTGATGGCTCGTTTCCACTGACTGGTACAGTACGGTACGGTTCGGGTCGGTACGGGTCACCTTTATCAGGCTTGCGTTTCCACTACCAAGGGTACCCTTTTGGTGGGCGTGGTGTATGACAAAGTTTCAGTCTACGTCATTTTTGCTTGAGAAAATGTCTACAATAAAGCTGCACAGGTCATTCACATATCATATGAAAAGCACTTCTCACAAAACAGATGCTTTACCCACATAAATACTTGTGTATAAATGTTTATTACTAACTTTTCTATAACTTTTCTATAAACAGGAGTTGATTATAACTGCAGATCAATGACGGTGCGAAATAGCCTACTGTAACGTCTGTAATTATATTAAATAAATGAACATATATGAACACATACAGACCCTTACAGTCTCCGATATGTTACCAAATACAGAAGAACTACACAAAACAGACATTTCGTCGTTAATTAGGTTCAAAACAACACAAAGTATAGCCTACAGTCAGAGCAAACCTCTCATCTGTGTCTGTAATCTTCAGCAGCACATGAAGCCTCTGTTAGAGAGTCATTCCATCATTCCCAGTTCATATTAGTCCAAAAGGTGATAATAAAGATTAAAACAAGGCAGTTTGTTCACGTTTGCTAAAGAAATAACGTGCTCCTTGGCTTCGCCTTTTTCCCGCCTTTTTATCCTTTTCTTTCTGAATGTGTCACTCTTGCGTTTGTCAGCTTCTCACAGGATCGGGTTTCCAAACGCTTGTCAATAATCAAGTGCATGTTATTATTATCAGATCAAGAAGTTTGTTATTTCAGATAGAGACGCGCGGCGAGCGCAAGAAAGAAAGTGAAACCACTCAGGCTTTAGACTGGCTCGTTAAAAACTACGCGGCACAGGGTAAATCTGCTCTTCTCCTTGGCTTTGTGGCTGTTTATCATGACGACGACAGGGTTTGTTTGCAGGATCGACCATGGCTGCATATGTATTTATAATTCCACAGTAATCTCTCGCTGTGTATTTCAAACATGCCGGGTCCTTTGTTTACATTCTGGCTTGTTGCGTCTACGAATGACGTATCTCTGTAAACCAATAGCGTTCAGCTGCGCGTGTAGCTTCACCTTTTGGGACCCTTTCTGCAGTTTAGGACCCTTTCGAAAGGGTCCCGAAAAAGTGGTACGGTACGGTTTGGTTCGGTACGCCTTTTGACAGTGGAAACGGCCATAAAAGCGTACCAAACCGTACCGTACTGTACAACTCACACATCTCAGCAGCGTAAGATTTTGTGACTTTTTCAACATTATCTACCTATACACACACACACAAAAATCTGGCATTGATTTGGTTGAACGTGTGTAAAAAAAAAAAAAAAGAAGTCAATAGTCAATAATAGAACCCTAAATGAACATAGTAATTAACATCTCCCAAATCATAGCATAAATGTATAGAGCAGTAAACAAAAATATTGATATAATTATATTATTATAATGATATAATTTGTATTATTAGAAATATTTAGTTTTTTTATAATTACACTTCTTATCTTTGGGGTCACCTTGACCCCAACACAAGGGGTTAAAACGCCTGCAGGGTTAAAAACATTTCACAGTGTGTGTACATTTTCACAGAAGTCATTCGCATAATTCAAACAAAGCATCCTGGGATGTAGGAAAACTGGATAACTGAAGAGAAAAGGTGCAGACATTAGACTATAATAAATCTCTCTAGTGTGCATGTGTTGAGTCCCTGATGTTGCGTACATTATCAAATCCAGTGTACATTGAAAGTTTAGTATAAAAAAGGTATGCTTTGTCATTTGGGGGTTGGTTTTAAATAATTTCTGTTCTTTTCAATGCTATTTAGTGTGTTTTGTGTTACCATCCACAGGGCTGAAGTACCGTAAGAGTGTGGCTGGGAAAACAGCAGTGTTCAGCGGAGAAGAGTTCATTCTAGAGGAGACAGACTGGTACCTGCTGGATCTGTTTCGCTTGTGGTGGCGCTATGGCATCAGCTTCATCCGTCTGCAGATGTGGGTGGAGGAGATCATGGAGAAGTTTATGAGGTGAGGGAAAGGCTTTATAAAGTTCAAAACAGCTCTAGTTTTCACAGGTTTGTGCTGAAACTGAAGCGTCTGT